TGGTGATTGCTTCCTGTTACAGGACGATAATGCAAGACCACACAGAGCTCGCATTGTTGATGATTATCTTCAACAGGAAACAATTACTCGCATGGAGTGGCCAGCTCGATCCCCGGACTTGAATCCTATCGAGCACGTTTGGGATGCTCTAGGGAGGCGTGTATCTGCCATCAATCCGCCCCCTCAGACCCTTGCCACGCTTGCAACTGCTTTACAAGAGCAATGGCTCTCACTTCCTATTGAACTGATAGACCGCATAATTGAAAGCATCACACATCGCTGTTTGTGCTGTATTGCTTCTAGAGGCAATCATATTCCATATTAAAGGTACTTTTTCTATTGCAAACCGATACTTCCAATTTGTTTATTTTATACATGTGCTAATTTCTATACTACTATTAATGTCTGATAATTTCTTTTTATGTTGTTTAATACCTTACTATGTGTTGTATATTGTGGGTAAGTTTCATAAAATTCCATGTGTAATTTCTTGAGTTATCGCGATTTTTGTGATTTTTCCTTAATTTATGATAACCAGTGTATATATATATATATATATATATATATATATGGGGAGAGTGTGAACTAATAGTAGGAATTTATAATGAAAGGAGAGTGGTATCGAATAACTATAAAGTATAAATTTGGCTAAACAAAAAAAAAGTATAAAGTGGACCGCACGTGCTAAAACGTAATGTTCTTCATTGAATTTATCTGACACAACAATTATAAAATATTTAAATGTGCCCATCAAACTATCTTTTTTGTTCAAATAGAGCTATAAGTTAGAAATTATAACCGATGTTATTTTTAAAATGTGTGAAAAACTGAATAGTTTATAGTAAAATTTAAAACATTGACTAACGTTAAATCCATCAGAAAATTCCATTTCGTTTTTCGTTCATCCCTATTTAATGAATGAATTAATATTTGAAAAAACTGTATTAACATAAAGTGTCATCCACTACAAGTTTAAAAAAATGTATTTGAACTTGAGTGGAAGAATATAAATTATTTTAGTAACTATTGAAAATTTGAACAAAATGTAAGGGGAGTGTGAGCTAATAGTAGGAATTAAAAAAAGATGACATGCAAATTATTTTTCATGCAATGGAGAAACCATTTAGTTTAACTCTAGCTTTTTTCTTTTTTTCTTCTTTTTTTTTCTTTCCTTTTTTGACAGTTGTTTCATTTTGATCTTATTCACAGGACTTGCAACTTTAATCCATATAAAAACAAATGATTTATCACGAATGAAATAATTATAACTTTTCCAAAAACCAAATTTGTCAATAACTATTTCAAGTTTAAAAAACATAGTTTAAAATTGTCCACCAAAAAGTTTTTACTTCAGTTGAATTATTAATTTTTTATAGATGACTTCAGAACCCTTTATAATAGCAGAAAAATAAAATTAGTGAAAAATATACATCACAGTGTTAATAAAGAAATATTTATTGAAATGGTGCACCTTAGGTCAAAAAATGGGTGATATAATGTCATAGCAATAATGTCACAGTCAATTATAGTAATGATAATGTCACAGTAATTTTTCTCTTGCACTCCACCACCTAAATTGGTTTCAAACCTACACCAGTATTTGGTTGGCCGTCATTGGTTTGGCGTAGGGATAGAGTTTAATAGCATTTAATTAATTGGTATATTAATTACAAATTTAATTTTTATAAACAAATATTTTTAATTGGAAAAAAACACGTTTGCGCTTCATTAAAAATTGAATCAGAAACTGAAAAACCAAAATTTTCGAAAAAATTAACATTACATTTGAATTACAGAGAAATCGAAAGAACTATTTAAAAAAATTAATTTATTTTTATTTTTTTGAGCTCAGAACAATTGTTTTATTTGTTGAAGTCTAGCGCTATCTTTCAGGCATAGGTTATTATTTTAGTTTTATCATCGTTATGTTGGATATTCATTAGGTTATTATTTTCAGATTCACTGGTTATTATCATTTATTAGCGCTATATTACAGATTGAATCACAAACTGACAAAAAGTGATTTTAAAAAAAAGAAATTCATAAGAATTACAGAGAAATCGAAAGAACTATTTAAAAAAATTAATTTATTTTTATTTTCTTGAGCTCAGAACAGTTGTTTTATTTGTTGAAGTTTAGCTTTATCTTTTAGGCATAGGTTATTATTTTAGTTTTATCATCGTTATGTTGGATATTCATTAGGTTATTATTTTCAGATTCGCTGGTCATTATCATTAGGTTATTATTTACAGATTAGCGCTATATTACAGATTGAATCACAAACTGAAAAAAAGTGACTTTAAAAAAAAGAAAAATCGCATAAGAATTACAGAGAAATCGAAAGAACTGTTTAAAAAAAATAATTCATTTTTACTTTTTTGAGCTCAGAACAAATATTTTATTTGCTAAAGTTTGGCATTATCTTTTTAGGCATAAGGCTGTTTCTAATATATGTGCCCTAGAAATTGCAAGTAACAATAAAAGAAAATTTTAAAAAAATATTAAGTACTTTTTGACAAATATGGGCATTTTTAGAAAAAGTACACACGCAGCATGGAACTTCGCTGAAACAAACTCGTTAGAAAGAACTATAGCAGAATGGGACAAAATACCCCTGTGACTTCAGAAAAACAAATTGTAAAGGGATTTTCATGTGATGTTTAAGGGATCAAAGTTGCAAATAAGTGGCAGCAAAGTTTCATAGTTACTTTACTCACAATAAAATAAAGCTGAAACTACCAACTGACAAAAAATAATAATAAACAGTCAGTGAGACTTGTATGTGATAACATGAGATACAATAACATGAAAGTCACATTACGACCATCTTTATCATAATTCAAAACGGTCACACCTGTGACTGCGATTGCTGTGACCTCTTCTGACTTTTTTTATCTGTGCTACCTGGGGAAATGATATTCTAAATTAAATGCGGGAAATGAAGCAATCCAACAAAAGCTATTTCATTGTAGGTGCTTAATATATTTTTATTATCTAAAGCAATAAGATCGGCCGTTTTCGTTCTTAAAGTACCAAATTTTTATTCGGAAATAGTTTTTTTTTCTTCTTTCTTTTAAGTTTAAGCATGAGGAATGATAAATGAGGCGCTTGTGAGAAGTAATACTTGAATTGGTATAGTTTTTCCCCTCGTAAGATTAAACTATCCTAAAAAAGAAAACTGCCATACATTTTCTGAGATTTACGTTTCGAAGAAGAATATAAACGCAAAAAACAGTTTCGTATAAGATACAGAAGGAAAATAAACTAGAAATAGAACTTACGTCAAAAATACGTTCAAAACTCCCGAAAAAATAAAAGCAATCAAATTACTCGGAATGTCTGCATTTTACTGCTTTATGGAATGTAAAAAATTAATGTAAAGAAGTATTTTGGACACATATTTTTATCGTACGTATTGTTTCCATTTCTTCGAAAACTTATTATAAAGTAACTATAAGTTGATCATTAAATTTCACTATGTTTCATGTATGCATATTTTTTGTTGAGATTTCATGCAAAATAAAACTAGTTTTAAATATAGAATAATTTAAAAAACGTCACGCAACGTCACAGCTTAAAAAAAATTTCATTGCATGATATTTATGTCCAAAAAAAATTGTGGCTGCAAAGATTATTTTCATAAGAAAGGAAATTATATTTACGGAGGTATATTTTGAAAAATGAAGGAAAAAGACTTATTTTTGTTTCAACATATGTTCTTAAATAGATTTAAGAAATACTTAAATAAAATATAAACCGCTATATAAACAATAAATAATTGTTTTTCTACAATATGAAATGATTAGAGTGCAGGACAATATATATGGCGCAATAAAAGTTATTATTATTATTATTGTCATTATTATTTATATTATTATTATTAGTAGTAGTAGTATTTATATAATTATAAACATTATTATTTGTATTATTATTATTAATATTACTTTTATATTATTATTATTATTATGTTGTTGCATTTCGGTTGAAAAACTCAATATGAAGCCCATATGTAAGAGTTCATGAACAGAAAATTAATATCTTAATTTATTTTCCACTTCAATTACGTTCCATACACAGTATAAAATTTTAGTGTTCAGTCCCGAGCCAAATTATTTGACTCACAATAAGATTCCATTTAAAAATCTTAATTACCAAGTGATGCGGTTTTATTGTTTTTACGTGACTGAAATCTGTCTGCACTTGTTAACATTCATGTATTAATTGGTCAACATTATAATACAATACGTTAAAGATAAATACAAATTGAAAGTATATAAAAAATCTCCATAATAGAAACCCATCACATGTATGTTTAAATATAGAAGTTGCTCGTGCGAAACATGCAGTTATTAAAAAAACTACAATGAGTCTAATAATTTTGTCTAATTATTATAATATACTTATATAATACCTGATATAATAAATATTCTATATTTATTATATTAGGTATTATATATTATTATATTTATTATATTACTTATACAATGTAAGTATATATATAATAGTTTGCTGATTAGCGTTAAAAAAAGGTAATTCGAAGTCAATATTGTGTATTACAACATGGCCATTTATCTCCCCTTGATATTGACCCCTAATATTCAAATTGAACCACATATTATATTACCGGATAATAGTGTACCCCACCAGANTAATATACTTACGGAGCACCAACTAAAAGTTTGCTGATTTTCAATACAAATCTCTCAAAAGACGTTTGAACAGGTCGGTTAAAAAGACACCAAATAAATAAAAACGGATCAAACTACTACAGCGCCATCGTCCTTAGAGTCTGAACTAAGTCCTCCGGTAAAAAAAAATTTATATGCAATTTAAAATAGTGAAAATTAAATAAAACTAAAATGGGTAGACTCGCCCCGGTTTACGGTACGTTAAAGATAAATACAAATTGAAAGTATATAAAAAATCTCCATAATAGAAACCCATCACATGTATGTTTAAATATAGAAGTTGCATATAAACTCGTGCGAAACATGTAATTATTAAAAAAACTACAGTGCGTCTAATAATTTGGTCTAATTATTATAATATACTAATATAATACCTGATATAATAAATATTCTATATTTATTATATTAGGTATTTTATATTATTATATTTATTATATTACTTATACAATGTAAGTATATATATAATAGTTTG